ATAACTACTCAATCAAAGTAATTTATCTTTATTTTCTATAGGCTATTTACAACTTTATGGTATTATAGAAGGTAATTCTGGTTACTTTGATTCAATCCATTAGTATTCGCTTCCAGACACCGCCTTGGAATTTTAGTGAATTCTTCCTGCGGAATTTTGGCATCACATCTTTTGTTCGTTCTTCAAGTGAAACGTTTTTTAAATTCTGCTACTGTGATGAACGATGAACTTTTCAGTGATGGGTGAGTATAGCGAACAATCCAGTTTGTTGTGTGTGGCGCCAACGCCAAAACTGCGAATCCAATCATCACACTATTCACTACATATTTGTCTCATCTTTATGATGATCCTTGCTTCTTATAATGACGCTGTAGTCATTGCAACTAACGTAATTATAACTTTCAATTACATCCTCTTTTTAGATGATATGCTTTAAGGCATTCATGTTTGGTTCTATCTGAAATTGCGATTTCAACGATGTTTATATTAACACAAAATTATTGCAATAGGTATCTATAAATGCAGCGAACTAAAATGCACATGGCTGGCTTAACAACTGCCTCCAATTTTTGTTCGCGTTGTTAGGAAATAGAGTGGCGGCGCTCTGCATTTCATTGTACACTGTTGCAAAAACTCTGTCGTATCCCGGTATGATTTGGAGTAGAAATAGACGCATATTGAACCTTCATATCCCACCATAGTATAGAGTGATGTCCATCTTATCGCGGTACGATTTGGAGTAAACATACGCGCGTTTCACATATACAAACCATACTACGGTATAGAATGGCGTTCATCTGTATAATGGTATAGAATGTATACGCGGCCGGGTTACTCACTCAATAGTTGTATTCCTTGCAAGAGTTTAAAACACGAGCTACTCGCTCCGGTGTTAGTCGCGCGGATTTGGGAGGAGCAGATGCGCTAGCTTTTGTGCATTAAATGGTTTGAGTTCGAGCTTGAGAACTTCAGGGAAAGTTGTGTAAATATAAATTACATGACACTGATACTATAGGGAAATTAATAAAATAATAGACACTTTAAGTTGGACCAAACACGTTAACGTAATCTTTAAACGTAAACCCTATTTTTTACTATAGCGTTGAGTGACCGTCGGTGCTCACAAATCAGTTTAAGTAAAATTTTCACGTAAACGTTAACGTTATATCTCACAATCATGACCTAACCTCTAAATTTTGTTGTGAAAAGGAAAAATTAGAAATTATTTTCTGTGTTTTGTTTATTATAAAGGATGGTGTTATTCTAAATGGGTATTACAAATACTATATGTGGGGAATTAAACTTTATGACGTTAGCATGTCGCAATGTTGCCGCATCAACTTTGTTTTACTTTGACATCCCATAAAGTTTGTCATTTTCCCAGGTTACATTTTTATCAATAAATTGATAAGAATAATTATAATAACAAAAAACGAAATTCCATCAATGCAAATCTATAGCAAATTAAAATATATCCCAACTATCAATCCCCGACTCGTTAGAAACTGACAACAAACCTCAAAATATTAAAATCAATAACCAAAGATTTGCAAAAGGCAACTATTGGCAACATTACCCACAAGTGCCAACCTAAATCCCATTTTATCGGGAGATTCGGTTATATGATCCTACAGCATTCTATCTCTTTTTAACTAGGGTTAAAAAAAAAGAGAAAATGCTCTCTGAGTTTTAAACGAATTTTAGTTTCTCAGAAACTCCAATTGGCAATAATTTCGACGTCATTGATGACCTGCAACCATTAATTTATTAATTTCACTATACTACACGTTTGTACTTCCGCATTCCCCACAGAGCTCCCATGGGTGCTCCGCACCCATGAGAGGTTACTCATGGGTGCACCTGCCCCGATGCCCCCATGTAGTCGGCGCCAGTGTGAATAATCAAAATCAAAGTTGCAAGCAAAACTCAAGCAAAATAATTTAAAATACTCATAAAAACATATTCAAAACAAACTTGCTTGGCCGCCACGCCACATTGAATTTTCCTTTTTGACAGATGGATTGAATTGCCTAATTTGTATTGGCAACACCGGCACCGGTCCCCTGTAGATCCTCACTCAAAATTCCGGTATGGTGTTTGTTCCTTTGGAATGTCTATGTTTATGTTTCGAATTTTTTGCAGCTCTGAACTATAATTGGTCTCAAGAAGTGGATTAGTGCAGAATTTATGGGTGGACCTTTGTGGGACAAGCGCAGCGAGTTCCGCAAGCATCTACTCACCAATATACTGTTGAACTATTCAAATAAGACACTCACCTGAAACTTGTAGTTTTTAAACTAATGAGAATAACTGACATTTGAGTGAGTCAGGTTAGTAAAATGTCGTATTTGAACAACGTATTAATAAATAGATGACTGCGGGACGAGCGTAGCGAGGTCCACCCATAGATTCCGCAACATTTCACTCGTTTGTACTTGAATAACTTGTCACATTATGTTACTAGTTTGGTAAAGTAACATTACTAATTTCTGTTGAAAGGCAAATTGACAAAAAGTGGATAATCTTACAAATTCTGACTTTATATAATAAGTTATTGTTCAAGTACAGGGTATTTTTTTATACAGGTTGTCCACTTAGTGCGATATCGGACGATATCTCCTTACAGGGTGATGCAAGAAAAAAAAATTAAATTACAAAGTTGTTTGATAATCTTATATGCATTAGCTAAAAATATTTTTGAATATACAGGGTGCTCCGTTTATGGAGTATGCGACAGAACTTTGTTATTTTAAATAGAACACCCTGTATGTGATTGCATATTTGGATTCTACGTAAAATTCTGAGCAGATTTCATGTAATATATCCCATACCTACCTAAGTTCAACTGTTTTGGAAATATTGACAGTTGAAAATTGACTTTTTGCAAATTTGACAGGCTGTAAAATCTAAACGGTTAATTTCAGACGAAAACCGATTTTACATTCCTAACTTTGAATTTAATCCATGATTAAAAATTCCAGTTAAATTTAATCTCCGGTTAAATTCAAAGTTGGTGTCAAATGATAGTTTATAAAAATCTAAGACAAGAATGTAAAATCGGTTTTCGTCTAAAATTAACCGTTTAGGTTTTACAGCCTGTCAAAGTTACAAAAAAATAATTTTCAACTGTTAATATTTCCGAAACAGTCGAACTTAGGTATAGGGTATATTGCATGAAATCTGCTCAGAATTTTACATAGAATCCAAATATGCAATCACATACAGGGTGATCCATTAAAAATAACAAAGTTCTGCCGCATACTCCATAAACGGAACACCCTGTATATTCAAAAATATTTTAAACTAATGCATATAAGATTATCAAAAAACTTTGTAATTTAATTTTTTTTTCTTGCATCACCCTGTAAGGAGATATCGTCCGATATCGCACTAAGTGGACACCCTGTATATTGAAACCCCACCTACAGCCTTCACCTTTACAAGTAGATGAAAGGTGTAAATACAAAAGTTGTACAGTATTGGCTAAATTTGAATGTCAGAAATGTGAAATGTTGCATGCTTTCAGCTTTTTTCAAATGGGATGCCCTATATTTGGTTCTATATTCTTGAAGAACACAATTTTCCGATTCCAAAACTATATATAGTTTGTCTATATTTGGTACTATCAGAGGAACCAAGTACAGGGTGTTTCCTTATATTTTGACCCCTACCTACAGCTTTAACTATACGAGGTGGAAAAAAACTTTAAATATGAAAGTTGTAGGGTTTTATGTCTATTATCTTTTGCGAATGTCAAAATAGGCAAATGACAGGTGCCAACTGTCACAATGACAAGCATTTGCATTTTTCAAATGGAAGACCCTGTATATTTTTGGCTAGAATGATAGTTTTTTTTCTTCTGATTCCAAGTATACCATATATGTTGATATTTGGTTTAGCTGTTTTCACGCTATTCAAGTTTAAAAATGCCTTTACATTACCCTTAATTCAATCTGTCCTGGTTTCTTATATGAATGATGAAGCTTGCTCAATGCAATTTTAAAATTAAATAGCGCATATTTGGAATCAGAAGAAAATAAGCTATCATTCTAGCCAAAAATATACAGGGTGTTCCATTTGAAAAATGCAAGTGTTTGTCATTGTGACAGTTGGCATCTGTCATTTGCCCGTTTTGACATTCGCAAAAGATAATAGACATAAAATCCTACAACTTTCATATTTATAGTTTTTTTCCACCTCGTATAGCTAAAGCTGTAGGTAGGGGTCAAAACATAAGGAAACACCCTGTACATATTATCTGTTCACAATCCGATTTCCACAGGTACAGGTAAAATTTATCACCTTCCAATGCTATTTGATAGTGAAAGGTGATAAATTTACCTGTACCTATGGATATTGAGTTGTGAATAGTATATATATATATATATATATACCTTAAATTTTACCTGCAGCTTTCACCTGTATAGGTAGAATGGTTCACAAAAGTAGTAAGATAGTATTTTTACAATTTTTGGAGCCAAATATATGAGAGACTGTTCAATCAAATATAGACAAATTATATATTTTTGGAATCGGGGCATTGTGCTCTTCAAGAATATAGAATGAAATATAAGGCATTCCATCTGAAAAAAGCTGGAAGAATGCAAAATTTCACATTTCTGACATTCAAATTTTATTTCTGACCATGGTTCAGCCAAAACTGTACAACTTTTGTATTTACACCTTTCTTTTACCTGTAACGGTAAGAGCTGTAGGTGGGGTGTCAATATATAAAAAAACACCCTGTACCTACCTATTTGAAATCACCTTATTTTCCTAAATAGTTCCCCCATTCCCATATTTTTATAGGCCATTTCTTTGAAAAACCGTATCTTGCACAATGTGCTGCCAAAACTAACCCAATCTGGCTTACTTTAACTTAAACTGCCCCCCCCCCCCCCCCCCGACCCCTTTTAAGAGTCCTGTATTCGCCTATGCTTCTAACTATGATTTACACATAAACATAAATAAACCTGGAAATGCTTTTTGCTTTCTTCCAGAATTCCGACGATATTTCTCCAGCCTCAAAATGCTCTTCTACTCGCGCTTTTTCAACAAGCAATAATTTATTAAATGGTTGTGCCACAAGATTACCCGATATTAGACATAGAAAAACTTCGACTCCAACTGTTTCTAGTGGACCTGGTCCATCTGGGTGCTACTACAATCATGGGTAAGTAAGCACTGAGTACAATTTCAGTTGAAATTATTATTAAGCAGCTTCTTTATAACATAATTTTTGTGTGTTCTAGAAATTGTCTAACCTCAGTACCTGCCCACGCCAAATCTCAAAGTCTCCCGAATCGCGCCTGCCACAAAAACTGCAAGCAAAACTACAGCTGCGCCGTTTTCGATATTCTCCGTATTCCAGCCGAGGATTTTGCAGCTCAACTTACGATACTAGATTGGCCAGTTTTCTTCAGTATCCAGCCTGATGAATTGACCAGTTGCGGCTGGAACAAGAAGAACAAACTCACTGTGGCTCCAAACGTAGTGGCTTTTTCTAAGAGATTCAATCATGTAAGGGTTTTGGGGGTATTTTGGGTTGGAAGTTACTTAGGTTTTTTGTAGGTGAGCTTTTGGACAGTACAAGAAATTCTTGCCGGTACCACAGTTAAGCTTCGCTCGGAGACGCTTGCCTTTTTTATTAGAATAGCAAAAAAATTGTACGAACTCAATAATTTCCACTCGCTTTTCGCAATCATATCAGCCTTACAAAGTGCCTCTATTTATAGGTAAAATTTTCATTATGTTTTTTTTTTTTAAATCAAACATTGTTTTGGTAATTTTTAGATTATCAAAAACGTGGGGTTCCTTACCAAAGAAAGACAAACAGACGTTTGATAAATTGGCAGAAGTATTTGCTGATGAGAATAATTGGGCAAATTTGAGGAGTCACATTGAAAGCCTTAAACTACCATGCATACCTTATTTAGGTGAGTCAAAGAGTTATTTGGAATGTATGGTGAACTTTCGCAAAATTACCAGTATTGTCGATTTTCCATCCAAATTCGGTTATAGCTGGTCTCGTAGCTGGCAGTTCAATTTTTGGTTTCAAAAAGTTTAATCAAATTTGATCCAAGATCCAAATTCAAACAGTACATACCAAAGGGTACCCCCTTTGGATTATTTCAAAATCTTTAAGCTTCAACATCTTCAAATCCATAAGAGATATTGAATCAAAATTTCCAGGAATTGTAGCTTCTATTAAGCTCTAGAAACTTGTATAGGAAAATATTTCCAGGTTTAAAGTTTTTGAGAAAATTGAATTTGAAGTTTTGAAAATAGCACCACAATAATTGTACTATATTTTCAGGATTGTACTTGACAGATCTCGTGTACATAGACATGGCGCATCCCCATTCAGGAGGCCTAGAATCTCAACAAAGAACCTCAAAAATGAACAACATACTCAGAATTATCTCAAATTATCAACACTCTGATTACTCAAACCTCACCAAAATACCTCACATCCAGGATTATTTGCACTCTATCCGATACATTGAAGAATTACAGAAGTTTGTTGAAGATGACCAATACAAGTAAAACAAAATTGACTCAAAATTTCAAAATCACTCAGCCTGAGTTTTATTTTAGATTATCTCTAAAACTGGAACCTCCAAGTCCTGCTCCTAGCTCATCGAACAACAGCTCCAAAGAATCAGTTTCAGTTGATCCTGTGGCAATAGCTTCGCTAAATTTATCGCCCGCAAAAGCTTCTTCTGGATCGTTGAGGCTCCAAGCGGTCACATCGGGCAGCAAATTTATACCCGGGCATAGAAAATGTAGGAGTTTAGGCACCAAGTAAGTGACTGTTTTGTTTCAAATTATTTCATTCATTACCATTGAATCATAAATTTAAAAAAATTCTTTTAATAGATTTCGTAGCACAAGTCTCCCTAGAAATTTTCACAAATTGGGTTATAAACCCAGTGCGTGTCTTAGTTTTAGGTAAGTCTGGTAAAAAAAAAGGAGAATTGTGCTTTAACAAGGAACGCGAATAGATTTTTTTTTTGTATGATTAGGTTTTTGAACTATTTAGAATTGTGTTGTTTCAACCATTTTTTTTTGTAGTAGGTATACACATTTAAGTGTAAAAACTTTTCATGAGTTTCAATCGCATGTATCTGCACCTGCTTTAAATGTGTAGGAACCTTTTTTTTGAGCTACATTCAAGCAAACATAATCCTCTTTCAGTATTTTCACAAAATCCTACCAAATCGGCAATTTCGATCCAAAAGAAACCCCTAAAACCCTTCATTTGTTGGATGACTCAGTAGTGGAAGATTCAACTAGTCGTTTGAGTCACAGCAACTTACCATCACCCACAAACCACTTGCCTTTACAAGCATCACACAGTACAGAAGATAATTGTACTTTACTTACCCGGCTGTCTGATGTTGATGATGGCATCGAAGAGAATGTATGCCCGATGCAAGGTTGTGTAAGACGTAAGACTGTACTTAAAGATGGAAAAAAACCCACAGTATCTTCATGGCAAAGGTACTGGTTGCAAATTTGGGCCAGTTCGCTTGTATATTTTCCACCAAAATCTTTTAAAGGGTAAGACATCTTACAATACCTATAGCTAGTCTAATATATTATTTTATAGACATCAAAGATCTGATTTTAAAAGAGATCCTTGCAAAATGGTCGCACTAACTGGCTGTCAAGTGCTTTATTGCGACTCTGCCATGCATCAAGACTCGTTTCAATTGGTGGATCATGCCAGAGGCAACGTTTACAAATTTAGAGTCGGCACTAAATATTTGGCAGAGAGATGGTGTCGTCTTTTGCAACAAGCGGCCAATGGAGAGCCGACCCCTTTACCAAGCAACCTTATGTCTTTTGAGTGATATTATTAAGTTTTTTGTTATGTACCTACTACTCACATTTATTTCAGTAATAATAATTATTAAATTTTTTTTATGGTTTGTACAATGAAAATAATAAAGTTTTTTTTACTGTTTTTGTCTTTTGAAATGTCGTATAAGTACTGTACTTACAAGAGTCTTATTGGGAAATTAGAAAGTTTGTAAATTGATTAAAGATCAGAATCTTAAGAGTCTATTTAGTGAAAAATAATGAAAATTTGCAAAAGGATTGAATAGACTTTTAGGTCTATAGTTTTTAGACTGCAGCAAGTCATATTTCAGTAAATAAGAAAGGTTTCAAGTCAATTTTTTTCTAAGTTTGTAACTCTCATTCAGTCGTATGCAAATGCTTTCACTCTACCTCTGTCTCTTTTTGCTGCAATAAAGCTAAATATGTTTATCTCAAAAAACTTAAGTAAAAGCATTATTTGTTTCCGTTTTATAGGCCCGGGAAAGAGAGATTGAACCTCGCAAACTTGACACAAGTTCTGTTTTATTTTTTTGCTGATAGGACAAGGGCTTTTTGATATGGGTCTAACTTTTTCCAACAAAATTTCATCCTGGAACATCCCCCTAAAGGTCGTTGTTTGTGGTTTTTCCGAAACGTATTGCTTCCGTTCCGTTTTACAAAAAAAATTCTTCATAATAAATTAAAGAGGACTAAATTCTCTACAACTTATCCAGCGACAGCACATGTCTATTACCTACCCTTTAGTCAGGGTGGCAGTCTAAAGTTGAATGACTTTAGAAAAAGATGTTTTGGATTTTTTTTTTTTACTAAAGAGTAAAGCGAATCCACCATAAACCATACAGCAACATACTCATAAATAATTGGCCGATTTTTTGGTATATGTTTTATTTAAAAACAGGTACCTATTTAAGATATACAGGGTGTTGAAATTGCATATCATCTGAAGGGCTAATGTTAGGCTGTTCAAATTTTCAGGGATTATTGATGTAGGAATGATAATAATAATGCTCCCCTATATTTTTACCTGGAACCACCCTAAAAAAATAAAATTTGAAAAAAAAATGTCTTTTTTTTTTCTTTTTCTTGCACACAATGCCCTCCATGTTAATGGTTCAAATATTATTTTGTGCACACCTCCAACATATATGCATCATAGACTTTTTTTCCACATAGATCAGTAGCGCACCAAGTAAGCTTTCCAAAAATATATCTACTTAATTGCAACATCCCTCTGGAAACTACCCATGCCCCTTATGAAAGTTGTCACAAGCACTCTTTTGCGATTAGGGTCAACCGGGGTAAATGTAAACGATTTTTACCATTTTGTGAAAATATTCAATTTAAAGGAAAAAAAATAGGCTTTCCTATTGTAAAATATTACATATCAAAATTTTAGGACCATATCAGGTGTTTGACCTTTGACTTAGGACTAAAATTTTCACTTAAAAAAAAGACCTTGGGTGGTATGAATAAAAACGAAGTACTTGCTACTACTACAAGTATTAGCATGTTCTAAGTAGTATTTACTCCAAAACGAAGTAGATACTACATTTCGACACTACCGGAAATAAGTAAATACTTCTTTGTGGAGTAAATACTTCGAAGAATATACTAATACTTGTAGTAGTAGCATGTACTTCGTTTTTATTCATACCACCCATTGTCTCCTTAAAAAACTGTCAAAAAAAAACCTGTCATTCGTTTACATTTACCCTGGCTAATCGGGGTAAATGTAAAAAAGTATCTCAGGCATCATTACAGATAACGCGATAATAATACCAGGGGTAAAAGTAAACAATTTCCTTTATAAACTTTCTGGATTTTTTTCCAGTCTTCTTAATATATGTTTACATTTACCCCAAAAAATAGGTTTCAGCAAAATTCAAACACCCAAATACCCTTTATGGCCTTATTATTATTATTTATTTATAATGAAGAAAATCGTTACAAATATTAACAAAAACTGGCTACTCCTTTGAACACAATTAGTGGTTTTAGACAAAAGAGCCATCTGCACCCCACATGCCAAAACTGTAGTGAACTCTCTACCGGATCAGTCAGAAACTCCAGTCAGGGCTTTTCCTTTTTCACCGATGGCTCGTAGGCGGCTTGGATCACTTTATTTGAACCCGGACTCATCTGCATTATACAGGGTGTCCACTTAGTGCGATATCGGACGATATCTCCTTACAGGTTGATGCAAGAAAAAAAATTTAAATTACAAAGTTGTTTGATACTCTAATATACATTAGTTGAAAATATTTTTGAATATACAGGGTGCTCCGTTTAAGGAGTATGGGAGAGAACTTTGTTATTTTAAATGGAACACCCTGTATGTGATTGCATATTTGGATTCTACGTAAAATTCTGAGCAAATTTTATGTGATATACCCCCTATACCTAAGTTTAACTGTTTTGGAAATATTGACAGTTGAAAATTGACTTTTTACAACTTTGACAGTCTGTAAAACTTAAACGGTTAATTTTAGAGGAAAACCAATTTTACATTCCTGTCTTAGATTTTTATAAGCTATCATTTGACGCCAACTTTGAATTTATCTGGAGAATAAATTTAACTGGAATTTTTATTCATGGATTAAATTCAAAGTTGGTGTCAAATGATAGTTTATAAAAATCTAAGAACGGAATGTGAAATCGGTTTTCGTCTAAAATTAACCGTTTAGGTTTTACAGCCTGTCAAAGTTGCAAAAAGTAAATTTTCAACTGTCAATATTTCTAAAACAGTTGAACTTAGGTATAGGGCATATTACATGAAATCTGCTCAGAATTTCACGTAGAATCCAAATATGCAATCACATATAGGGTGTTCTATTTAAAATAACAAAGTTCTGTCCCTGTATATTCAAAAATATTTTTAACTAATGCATATTAGAGTATTAAACAACTTTGTAATTTAATTTTTTTTTTTGCATCACCCTGTAAGGAGATATTATACAATATCGCACTAAGTGGACACCTTGTTTATAAAACAAGCCTCCTCTTCAGATACAATGTTTAATCCAGATAGAGTTTGACTAATGGCCTACTACTAATGGGATACTATTTTAGGGGAGCCTTAACTATAAGTATTCCCTAAAATGACAGTCTTCCATGGAGAAATGTCAGTTTAGGGAATACTTATCGTTAAGGCTCCCCTAAACTAGTTGATGGAAACGGCCATAAGATCTTCATATCAGGTTTCCTAGCGTCTACCCTACATTTCTGTAAGTGTTCAGATTTCTTCAGTGAAAAAACATTGCTGTGTTTTTTAAGGAATAGATAGTAACAGTCTTCACTAGGTCTTCCATCAACAAATGACATTTTCAAATTGTTTTTTTTTACATACTGTTGAATAAAGTTTAGCAGCTCATCTTTATCACAAGGGTAACCAGCTCTTGTTCTGGCGAGCAGGCAGTCCACAATTTCGGATTCCATCTCTGCAGTAAATGCTGTTTTGCGACCACAACCAGTGGAATCCAAACAAGTTTTTCGCTCATTCAGTCTTTCAGATATTACCACAATGGGTACATTATAAAAATGTTGGGCTTCTCGATATGTTTTATTTTGGTTTCGTACACCACTTACAGCATTAAGCAAATTCTGCTTACTGTATGATGGCTCCTCGGATATTTTTGAGACATTTAAAACTAAAATGTAAAATATACACTGAATTTACATTAACTCAAAGGGGTTTACATTTACCCCAAATGAGTGTTTACTTTTACCCCTTAGTGAAATTTATGAGGGGTAAATGTAAACCCAATTATATCTATTTTTATTTAGATAATAATCAGTTAATCAAGTCTATACAAATAGAATAATGTTTTATATATCTAGTACATAATTCACTTCAGATCTTACGTCACGGAAAAAAATTTCACTGGCACAATTTAATACTTCTGCTAAAACAAAATTCGATGTTTTTGTGGACTAAAGAAAACTAATCTGCAGATGCCATTTTCCTGTCCAGTAGCGGTAAAAGAAGCGTGGATTCAGTATTGGTGGGAATAACGCATTTAGCGGCAAATTTAAATCGTGTTTGAAGACCGTTTACAATTACCCCTGTTTACATTTACCCCGGCCGTCCCTATTTCTTTACCTATGCATTGTATGGGAAGGAAATTTATATGAAATTGAAGACCACCATATGCTCTACAAATAAATTTTAACCCTGTCAGAACTCAGAAGAGCTTAGTTTTATTATTTTGCTATGGGATTTATCTAAATGTATGTTCTTCAGGGTTGAAAAAGAAAGAAATTAGCGAAAAAATAAGTACATATGTATAAAAATTTATATATTATCAATAACAACAAAATTTATAATGGTAATTCCAATCCAATCTATGATTAGTTGAAATTTTGATTCATTTATTGAGCAGATAAATTGCTTATAATGCCCTTTAGGGAAAATTCATTGGGATAACTACAAAAATACAATTTTGCCATTGTTGGGGTACCAGGTACCATTCAATTTGTATTGACAATACTTGAGTCTGGTCTCACAGAAATCACACATCAGTGAGAGCGTTTTTGATTGGTGCAAATCGCCAACAATTGACTATTCACAACCAATGAAATTCACTCTTGACTGGTTTGTGATTTCTGTGAGACCTATTGTAGTACTTGGTACTGCTTTAGACAGTTTGATACTGAGTAGCTGTGCAAAATTCTATCTGGCTCAATAAATAAACAAAACTAATGAAAAATCACAAATCTGTCATAGAGTTAAAAGTCTTTGATAGATAGTACAACAAAATAGTAACTACCTTGTATCAAAGCCTGGATTATTTACCCAATTCCTTATATCCTCAAAATATAAGGAATTGGGTAATAGGCAAATATGTACAATATTTATAAATAAATAATACCTAAAAAAATGTTAACAAGCATAACGTTAACGTAACAGCCATTCATTCAATTGAAAAATAAATTATAAAAATCCCTCGGAAGCGCTACCCGTTGTCTTCGCAAGATACGCCCCAAAAGAGGCACTGTCCTGAACCGCTGTAGCAAACTAGAAATACTGTCACTAGAAACAACAAGGTGCAAACTGTACACGGTTTACGTTCCAAAAAGAACCCGATCAAATATAGCACCATAAACATGACGTGGGTCTGGACGAGG